TGAGTGGCTTCTGGGTATTGAGGATGTGGGTGGCCTTGCTGTCTAGTGGGTTTGTGGAAGAATAAAGATCTTTATTATTGTGCCCACAGGTTTCAATGTGTGAGTAAATGAACCTCCCATTTTTTCCCACCATGCACAGAACGGTGCATCCCTTCTTTTTAGCAGACTACTGGGAGCATACAGGAGAGTAAATTTCCTCATTACCTGTTATGCACACATGTAGTGGGTCAGGATGGGCCTTGTCACTGTGGGCCGGTGGAGGAGCTTGCACATGGATGTACACACGCTCTTCCAGCCCTCGGGCCTTCAAGTCGGCTCCCTCTCATATCATTGCACATGTGTGCCATGCTTTCTGAATCCACCATCTACATGCCTGGGCCTAAGGACAGTGTGCATTGTGATCGTATAGGACTGTTCATCTTTACGTTGCTTCCCTCAGGCTTGGTCATTCTTTCAGCAGTTATTTAGGGGGCATTTACTATGTGCCAGCCGCTATGCTGGTTGCTAGAAATATTACAGTGCAAAATAGCATTGGGTGTTTGGCCTTGTGGGCACGTACAGGAGTTTCTTAGAAACTCTTAATCTGCTTTCCATCCACTTTTAAACACATCTGGGAGTAAAGAGAGGCAGAAGAATATTGTCTCAGAGTTCAGAGTTGCATATCAATAGCACATTTTTGTTTCCTGGAAATGAGGTGACAGTCCTGTGAGTTAAGCTATCTAGGATAAATCATTAAGAGAAAGGCAGGAGGGGTTAGAGAATTCAGATTTAGTCTAGCATTTTTAGCCTGTCCTGACTATGGCCTTAGCAGTATTCTCCAGTATACTCTCCACTTCAGGTAGGCTGATCTATTCATTCCTACCTTTCTTAGTGCCTTTGCCCATTGCCCATTACAGATTTATGATTTTCAGATCAGCAGAAGAGTACAGTATTACAAATGGTGAGAGAGAGAGAGAAAGAAGAAGAAGGAGGAGGAGGAGGAGGAGGAAGAGGGGGAGGGGAGAGAGAAGGAAAAGAAGGGAAAGGACAGGGAAGGAAAGGAAAGGAAGATACAAACATTACATTTCAATCTTCTTTCTCAAGTTCTTAAACAGAACTTAAAAATTCTGACTCTTGATCCTTCTCTCCCAACTTCTCCCAATATACTCTGCAGAAGAGACTCAGGTTGTTCAATATGTGCTCCTTAACTTTTGTATACCCTAAAACCCCATTTTGGTTACTGGTCAGCTTTGGTTTGTTTCCCCACAGACTGTACATCTCTCTTTTATTTATTTATTTATTTATTTATTTATTTATTTATTTATTTATTTATTTATTTTTAGCTGAGCCATCCTGCCACCTGTTGGCAGCTCAGCAGCTGCTCAGCTCCGGCTGGGACTTGAACCGCTGTTGAGCAAGCTCTTAACCAATGGAGCCACTCGGCCGGCCCCTACATCTCTTTTGATGCGCATGGTCAGCGGGGTCAGCATTCCCCAGCTCAGATCTAGGGAATTAGAAAGTTGTGTGTGTGTGTGTGGGGGGGACAGGCTGTGTTTTAACAAGCCCTCCAGGGGATTCTGGCGCACCTTGAACTTTGAGAACTACAGGTTTAATTAACTTTAATACAGATTCCTGATTTACACAGGATGATTTTTGAGTCAAATTTTCCTTATATGTATACTGCTATTTCAATCTCTGATTTGTTTGAACTTAATAGAGTGTTTTCAGCAGTTTTAGGTTTATAGAAAAATTAAGCAGAAAATACAGGAATTACCATGTATTCTCACACCTGTTTTTACTATTATTAACATCTTGTTGTTAGTGTAGTAAACCTGTCACAATTGATGGGCCAATATTGATATATTATTAACTAAAGTCTATAGTTTATATTAGAGTTACCTCTTGGGTGGTGTACATTCTATGGGTTTGGAAAAATGTATAATGACATGTATCTATTATAATATACAGAGTGGTTTCACTGTTCCAAAAACCCTCCTCCATGCTCTGCCTATTCATTCCTCCCTCCTCCCAAACGCCTGACAAACACTGATCTTTTTATTGTCTACATAGGTTTGTCTTTTCCAAAATAGCATATGATTGGAATCATGCAGAATTTCTTTTACTTCATGTGAGACTCCTCCATATATTTTTGTGGCTCAATAGATCATTTATTTTTATCGCTGAATAATATTGCATTGTTGAGATATACTACAGTTTGTCTATCCATTCACGTACTGAGGGACATCTTGGTTTCTTCCAACTTATGGCAATTATGAGTAAAGCTGCTGTAAGCATCTGTGTGAAGGTTTTCGTGTGGACATACATTTTCAAATCATTTGGGTAAATACCAAGGAGTACAATTACTGGATTGTATAGTAAAAGAGTATGTTTAGTTTTGTGAGAAACCACCAAGCTGTCCCCCAAAGTGTCTGTACTATTTTGTATTCCCACCAGCAATGAGAGTTCAGTTGTTTCACAGCCTCGTCAGCATCTGGTGCCAGTGTTTTGGATTTTAGCCATTCTAATAGGTGTGTAGTGGTATCTCATTTTTGTTTTAACTTGCAGTTATCTAATCACACATGATATTGAACATCTTTTCATATGCTTATTTGCCATCTGTATATCTTCTTTGTTTAGGTTCAGATTTTTGGATCCTTTTTTTAAATTGGGATATTCTTTTTCTTGTTGAATTTTAAGAATTCTTTTTATATTTTGGATATTTGTCCATTATCAGGTATGTATTTTGCAAATATTTTCTCCCAGTATGTGACTTATCTTTTCATTCTATTAGCAGTGGCTTTTGCAGAGCAGAAGTTTTTAATTTTAACGAAGTCCAACGTATCAAGTCTTTCTTTCATAGATCATACTTTTGGTGTTATATCTAAAAACTCATCGCCAAACCTGAGGTCACCTAGATTTTCTCCTCTGTTATCTTCTAGGAGTTTTATAGTTTTGCATTTTACATTTAGGTCTATGGTTCATTTTGAGTTATATTTTGTGAAAGTTGAAGATCTGTATCTAAATTTTTTTCTTTGCATGTAAATGTCCAGTTGTTACAGCACCATTTATTGAAAAGACTATCCTTTCTCCATTGAATTGCCTTTGCTCCTTTGTCAAAGATCAGTTGACTGTATTTGTGTGGGTCTATTTCTAGGCTTTCTATTCTGTTCCATTGATCAATTTGTCTATTCTTTCACCAATACCACACTGTCGTGGTTTTTTAAAATTATTATTTCTTATTTTTTTTTATTTTTATTTTTAGCTGAGCCATCCTGCCGCCTGTTGGTAGCTCATCTTGGGCCGGGCATCGAAGCACTGTTGCTCAGACCTTGCACTCTTGAGTGAGCTCTTAACCAACTGAATACCACACTGTCTCAATTATTGTAGCTTTAGAGTAAGTCTTGAAGTTGGATAATGTCAGTGCTCCAACTTTGTTCTTCTTCAGTGTTGTGTTGGTTATTCTGGGTCATTTATATTGGTAAGCATCAATATAAACTTTAGAATCACGTTGTCAATATCCACAAAATAGCTTGTTGGGATTTTGATGGGGATTGCATTGAATCTATAGCTCAAGTTGGGAAAAACTGACATCTTGGCAATATTGAGTCTTCCTATCTGGGTGCATAGATTATGTCTCTATTTATTTAGATCTTCGATTTCTTTCATCACAGTTTTGTAGTTTTCTTCTTATTGATCTTAAACATTCTTTGTTAGATTTATACCTAATCATTGCATTTTTGGTGCTAAAATGTCAATGGCATTGTGTTTTAAATGTCAAAGTCCGATTGTTCATTGCTGATATATAAGAAAGCAGTTCAGTTTTGTATGTTAACCTTGTATTCTGCAACCTTGCTATAGTCACTTATCAGTTTCAGGAGTTTGGGGTTGGCTCTTTGGGATTTTTCTGTATAGACAATCATGTCATCAAACACAATTTGAACAAGCACAACATTACTTCTTCCTTCCTGATTTGTAAACCTTTTGTTTCCTTTTCTTGTCGTTTTGCATTAGTTGGGACTTTCAGTAAGAGGCTGAAGAGGAGTGGTGAGTGCCGACACCCTTGCCTTGCCCCTGATCTTAGCAGGAAAGCATCTACCATGTTTCCCCGAAAATAAGACTGGGTTTTATATTAATTTTTGCTCCAACAATCTACATTTATTCATGTACAAAAATCTACATTTATTCAAACAGTAATGTCAGGCTGATGATCTTAACTAGGGTTTATGTTTGGGGTAGGGCTTATATTACAAACATCCTGAAAAATCGTATTAGGACTTATTTTCTGGTTAGGTCTTATTTTCGGGGAAACATGGTATTTTCTCACCATTAAGTATGATGCTAGCTCTAGGTCTTTTGTAGATGTGCTTTATCAAATTAAGGAAGTTACCCTTCATTCCTAGTTTGCTGAGAATTTTTTTTATCATGAATGGATGCTGGATTTTATACAATGTTGTGGGGTTTTTTGATTGATTGGTAAGGTTTTTCTTCTTTATCCTGTTGATGTGATGCATTACATTAATAGATTTTTTTAATTTTTAATTTTTATTTTTGCAAAAATAGTTTCCTTTAATAAGGATTTCACATGCCGTATGTCTAATGGGATACAATTAACCCCACAGACTTCAAATGATAGCATGGAGTCTTACTATACGAAGATGGAGCAGGAGTTGCAGGAAAAGACAACTAATAGATTTTTTAAAAGTTGGGCCCACCTTGCATGCCTGAAATAAATCACAGTTGGTCATGATATATAATTGTTTTTATACATTGTTGAATTTGATCTGCTAATATTGTGTTGAGGATTTTTGCAACTATGTTTATGAGAGATATTGGTCTATAGTTTTCTTGTAATGTGTTTTGTCTTGTTTTGGTATTACGATAACTCTAGCCTCATAGAATGAGTTAGGAAGCATTATCTCTGCTTCTATTTTTTAAAGAGATTGTAGAAAATTGATATAATTTCTATTTTAAATATTTGGTAGAATTCACCAGTGATCCCATCTATATCTGGTGCTTTCTGTTTTGGAAGGTTATTAATTATTGATTCAATTTTCTTATATATATATATATATATATATATATATATATATATATATATATATATATAGAGAGAGAGAGAGAGAGAGAGAGAGAGAGACATATTCACTGATCTGTTTCTCTTTGTATGAGTTTTCATAGTTTATATCTTTCAAGGAACTGGTCTGTTTCATCAAGGTTATCAAATTTGTGACCATAGAATTGCTAATAATATTTCTTTATTATCTTTGTAATGTTCATGTGATGAATGGTGATGATCGTTGTTTCAGTTTTGATACTAGTAATTTGTATCTTCTCTTTTTTTCTTAGTTAACCTGGCTAGAGGTTGGTTAATTTTATTGATCTTTTCAAAGACCCAATTTTAAAAAATTGATTTCCTGTCTTCAACTTCATTGATTTCTACTCTAATTTTTATTATTTGTTTTCTTCTATTTACTTTGGGTTTAATTTGCTCTTCTTTTTCTAGTTTCCTAAAGTGGAAGCTCAGGTGATTGATTTTAAATCTTTCTTCTTTTGTAAGATATACATTCAATGCTATAAATTTCCTTCTAAGCACTGTTTTTGCTGTACCCCACAAACTTTGATCAGTTTTTTTTTTCATTTTCATTTAGTTCACAGTGGTTTTTAAAATTTCTCTTGCAACTTCTTCTTTGAACCATGTGTTATTTAGAAGTGTGTTGTTTGATCATTAAAGTATTTTGGGTTTTTCCAGCTATCTTTCTGTTACTGATTTCTAGTTTAATTCCATTATTATCTGAGAGTAGACTTTGTATGATTTCTGGGATTATTTTTAATTTGTTAAAGTGTATATCATGGCCCCAAATGTCATCTATCTTAGTGAATGTTCCATGTGAGCTTGAGAAGTCTGTATTCTGATGCTGTTGTTAGATAAAGTATTCTACAGATGTCAATTAGATCCAGTTGATTGATGATTCTGTTTAGTTCAACTGTGTCTTTACTAATTTTCTGCTGCTGGATCTGTCCATTTCTAGTGGAGGGGTGTTGAAGTCTCCAGCTATAACAGTGGCTTCATCTATTTCTCTTTGCCATTCTATCAGTTTTTGCCTCATGTGTTTTTATGCTCTATCATTAGGTACATATATGTTAAGGATTGTTATGATTTCTTAGAGAACTGACCCTTTATCATTATGTAATGCCCCTCTTCATCCCTGATAAATTTCCTTGCTCTGAAGTCTGCTTTATCTGAAATTAATATAGCTACTTTAGCTTCCTTTCGGTTAGTGGTAGCATGTTATATCTTACTCCATCTCTTTCCTTTTAATCTGTGTCTTTATATTTAAGGTAGGTTTCTTGTAGAAAACATTGTGGGATACTGTATTTTTACCCACTCTGGTAATCTCTGTCTTTCAACTGGTATATTTAGACCATTGATGTTTAAAGTGATTACTGATATGATTGAGTCCATATTGTCTGCCATATTTCTTACTGTTTACTATTTGTTGTCCATGTCGTTTTTTTCTTATTTTTTGCCTTCCACTCTTTTTCTACCTTCTCTGGTTTCAATTGAGCATTTTGTATGATTCTGTTTTTCTCCTCTCTTAGCATATAAATTATACTTCTTTTTTAAAAACTTTTTTTTCCCAGTGGTTGCATTGTATTTGCAATATATTGGGTTGTTGGAAAAGTCATGATGTATTTTTTCTATGTTTTTTGTTGCTAAAATGCATCATGACTTTTATGACAACCCAATACATTTACAACTAATCCAAGTCTTTTTTCAAATAACACAATACTACTTCATGGATCATGCAAGTGCTATATAACAGAGTATTCCTACTTCCCTTCTCCTGTCCTTTATAACATTGCTGTCTTTCATTTTACTTATCTGTATGCTATCATCACCAAATGCAGTGTTGCTATTATTATTTTGAACAAACATTATCTGTTGGATCAATTAAGAATAAGAAAAACAACTAAATGTTAACGAGACTTAATGTGATTATTTCACAATATATACAAATATCAAATCATTACATTGCATACCTAAAACTAATACAATGTTATATGTCAATTATACCTCGATTTTTAACAGAAGGCAGGTAAGGGAAAAAAGAATAAGAAAATATTTTACCTTTATTTATTCCTTCTCTAGCACTCTTCCTTTCTTTTTGTAGGTCTGAGTTTCTGACTGACCTGTATAATTTTTCTTCTTTCTGAAGAATTTCTTTTAACATTTCCTTCAAGGCAGGTATATTGACAAATTCCCTTAATTTTTGTTTTTCTGAGAAAAAATATTTTTTTCTCATTCAGTTTTAAGGGATTATTTCTCTGGACTCAGAATTCTTCATTGGTGGTTCTTTTTTATTTTTTAATTAGTTTCAGGTGTACAACACAGTGCACTAGTTATACGTTTTACCCCTCAAAGTGACAACCCCCCTCCCCCAATCTGCTGCCCCACTCCCCCCCTCAATACATTGGTGGTTCTTTTCAATCCTTTATTTCATTCTTCTCTCTTCTTGATTGAATGTTTTCTGGAAAGAAGTCTGATATAAGTTGTATCCTTGCTTTTCTGTAAGGAAGGCATCATTTTCCTTTGGCTACTTTCAAAATTTTTTCTTTGTCTTTGATTTTTTTCCAGTTTGGATATGATATGCCTAGTTGTAGATTTTAAAATATTTATCCTCCTTAGTGTTCTCTGAGCTTTCTGGACCTGTAGTTTGGTATCTATCATGAATTTTAGGACATTCTCAGTCACTATTGCTTTAAATGCAGTCATGTGCCACATAAGGATGTTTTAGTCAATGACAGACTGCATATATGATGGTGGTCCCATAAGGTTATAATGGAGCTGGATTTCCTGTAAGAAACAGAATATGTGGTTCAGGAGGAATTTTTTTTTCTCTAATAGGAACTGTATTTGTGGGGCTTGGCAATAGATTCCCTCTCAATCACAACACCTCAATTTTGAGTACATAGATTATATCCCAATCAGTCAGCCACTGACCTGTTTCATTACAGAGATGCCTGTTATGTTCAGAGGTGCTACAGCCCTCCCAGATCTTGCCTGATGCTCTTCAGGGTACATTGCTCTAAATTCTTTGTTGAGGACCTAAGATTCTGCACAAGTACAGAGAGGTACACAGGAGCTACTTTAACAAATATTAAATGCCACTGCCACGTTAATAAAAGCTTTTTTGTGGTAGTGTCGAGCCAGCATGTCCCTGTACTTTGGAAATATTTTCAGGTTGTAATGATGTAAAACATAGATAAGTTTTATTTTTTTTTTATCAGTTCAATGCCAGGGAGAGCCCTTTGTGCCAGACAGGGTCAATGGAACCAAAAACAAAATTTCAAAGTCAAAACATTGAGTCCTCAGTTCTGCACTTTCTCCATGTTAAACACCTTTTTTTAAAAGATTTTATTAGGGAAGTGGGGAAGGGGACCAGCCAAGTTGTTGTTCTTCAATCTTTGTTGGGGAGGGCGCCAGTCGCCATCTGGCTTCGCGTTGGCAGCTCATGGCCTCTAAGCTCAAGGTGCTGTGTTCAATCTTAGTTGTGGGTGGGCGTAGCTACCATCCCATGCGGGAGTCGAACCAGCAGCCTTGTTGTTAAGAGTGCACACTCTATCCACTGAGCATCCAGTTGGCAACTCAGCTCAAGGTGCTGACTTCAGTCTTAGTTGCAGGTGGACGTAGCCCACCAGCGAACAGGCAATCTTGTTGTTACATCCTGTCACCTGTTGGCAGTTCAGCAACAGCTCAGCTCGGGTGCAGTGTCACTGGCCCATGTGGGAATTGAACCGGCGGCCGTGTTGCTCAGAGCTCCTGCTCTTAAGCCAACTCTTAACCAATTAAGCCACTCCACTGGCCCACACCTTCTTTTTTTAAATGAATATCACAAAGTTCTTTAATCTGATCACTGCTCCAACCTACAATATAGTCAACCACATTGCCATGATAATCCCTATGTTTCTTTATCTCTCCATTTTGATTTCTTATTCCTAATGATCCTCAGGCTACCTTCCACTCCCTCCTGGCAGTCATTATA